TCCATGTTATACGTGTTTTAGGGTAGGGTGTCGAATTTCTCAATTTTCGTGCACGTCTTTCCTTGTCAGGTGTGAAAGCGGAGCCTCGCGCACTGAATTTCAAGCTAAAAATAAACCTTACATTCAGATGCATAGATAGGTTCTTTTCAGAAGATGCTTGTACCGTCGAATCACGTTCAATCTGGCTCATTACGGGTGCGTAGAATGGAGTTATCCAGCTCGCCCTTCCAACCCCCATTTTTGGCAGTATCCTGAGCCAAGTTCTGCACTCTGCACTATGGATAGAATGGGGAGAATCCCACATGATTAAAGCCTACGATGAAAGCCAATAATGTTCTGTTTTTGCTGTGTTGGCTGAAATGACTTACACAATCTGTCGGCATCCTATTTTGGCCGTTGCTTGGTTTGATGTCAGCACCGCAGCGCATTGCCCCCTAGATAAAAGTTCTAAATATATGCCAGACTTTCACTGCTTCTTATGATTCAGCAAATCAAAGGATACGTCAATTGGCACCGTTGTTGTTGAGCTATTGTCGATTGATGTTGAGCGTGCGAAGTCGCCGCAATCCGGCAGATCACCAGATCCGGCAGATCATCGGAAAATCCCTTATTTATTGCGGTTTGGTCTCTGGAGAGAATGGCCACATGGTACAGTAGCATGGTATTGATGTACTGTTGCAAGCAAACACTTCGCGCTTGTCCACATCTTTCAGGCTCCAGCGTTCAAATGTGCTGCACCTGCCAGCGGCAATCTGGTCCGAATATCCGATAGGTTTGTGGGGGGGGGCGGGAACCAAGGTGGGTATGCCCTGCAGTTGGTCAGCCTTGATTCTTGAGGTGTGAGGACCTAGCCCAACCAGCGGAACTGCACAGTGTAATTCTCTCTTTTAATGAATTCAGACAGCACCAAACTACCCGAAGCTCCCGAAACAAATAATGTGGACTGGCATATCGCAGCACGGAGGTCGGACGGTCGAACACGGTCGCAATCACGTCTTTAGTCCCCCCGTGGCTTCCTGGGTAAGGGAAATCTCCACAGGTCTGCTGGGGCCGTTGGTGTAGCGGCTGGCACACCCTGGGAGCTGCATAGGGGGTGCACTTCACCACTGCCGTTTGCTTCCCAACTAAGGGATATACTCGGCGGTCTTGCGATAAGTTCTGTTGGTTTGCTGTCTCGGCCATAATCCGCCGACTTGGCTTCTGTGCGGAAGGGCTCGGATGGTGACCGATACTGTATATGGGGGCGAAAACGCATGTGTGCATTTTCTCGTATTGGAACTTGAAAGCACGAGCATTTACCTGTGGCACAGCGCTCGGTTCTCTAGGTATCCGGCACTTTGTCAACTCGATTCGACAGCGGCTGGCTGGCCTTTGGACGATGGGTAGAGTAGCGACCCCCCCGCCGCTGGTCGCGGGGAATTTTCCCCCACTTCTTCCACTTTCACCGACACACTTCGAATCGTCCGGTAAAGCCAAGAACGAAATGCCTCCAGATTGTATGACCCAACACAAGCATATTAAGACTCTCGTTCTTGACGTCCGCTCACATATTGACATCGCGAAAATAGCTTCCTGCAGCGAGCAACTATTCGCAGAATTCGACTGAAATTGAGACGATTTGAACTCCGAAGTGGTCGTCCTCTGATGGTAGCTCTTTCGATGTCACGAGCCCTACAGAAGCAACTATCCAAACAGCCTGTTCCGTGACGAGATGATCCCAAAATTTGTTTCAAAAGCCAGGCATCCCTTCCCTGAGTATAACACCAGCCAGTGCTTTGAGGCTGGGTAACACGTTGAGAACTTGACATGTGTGTGTGTGTGTATTTTTTGTCCAGCGGCCTTCAGGCCGCTCAGGTCCCCGAGACGGGGCACAGGACGTGCTGAGCTAGACTATCTAAAATTCCTGCCACCGAAAGGCCACCCAGTACTCCCTGCAAGGCCAAAGGCAAGCTGTCGAGGTGGATCCCTGGAGGCGGCTCTCTACGCCCGACGGTAGGTTGTCGCTGAGCACGTCAATACAAGTGACCAGAGCCCCCGCGGCCAGTCCTCCCAAATGTCCATCCAGCATTTCGTAGGCTCTTTGGCGCTCCTTGTCGAAGCCTGTCTCCCGTCAGCGCGACTTCCAGGCGCGTGGCAATTGCCACAATGGTCAACCCTTGGTTTTCCTGGTCAGGATTATCTCGCTCGCTGCATAAACCCAGGTGATGCCATCGACAGGAATGGCCATTTCTAACACGAAACTCCGTCTCTCTTCTCTGCTCTAGCAGAAGAACAGCTTAGTCCGAATTCGAGACAACCAAAGGAGATCGCGCGCCCGACGGAGAGAGTATGTCCAGGAGCTCGAACAGCGACTCAGGGTATACGAGCTCCAGGGCATCGAGGCTTCGACCGAGATCCAGATGGCCGCGAGGACAGTAGCCGAGGAGAACAAGCAGCTACGGGAGCTTCTCAATAAGCATGGCTTTAGTGACGGCCATGTTGCCCATTTCTTGCAGTCGGGCACTTTCGTGCCACTTGATGCCGACCAAGACCATCCTTTTCGCGCCGGCGACCCTGGGGCCGCCGTCCAGTCGCTGGAACAGCTCCTGGTGCCGCGTCGACTAGCCATTCTAGATCAAGACTTCTCCCTCTCTTTGCCGAGACAGTCATGTCGGGATCCCTCCACTGCCAGCGGGTCGACGACAAGGTCGTCCATCTTGGAGTCGTCGCAGCTTACGACGTCATCCTACGGCTATCAACATCACATGGCCATGGCTACCGCAGTCATGGGCTTGGAGGTTCAATCCAAACACCCACTGATAGCCCCGTTAAGTCATGCGAGCACCACGCGACAAGGCAGCGTTCATTGTGAGCATCCGTCTCCGTCGATGCTGGACAGTCCCGGCCAACCCATGGCCACAACACAGGCTATGTTTATGGGCGACCGTTCGGCAATTCATTTGCAACGCTCTCTACCGACATATACATATTCAGACTCGACGATACCACATTACGATCCTCCAGGAAGCACCTCCGACGGTTGATTCCCATGCTCGTCCACAGCGCTCCTAATAGTGTGGACCATTAAGAGGACTATTAGTGCACACTGTGGTTTACACTATTAGTGCCGCACTATTAGTGTAGTGTGCGTTTCTCACACCACACTGGTGGTTCAGTGTAGCTTGCCCAAACTGAACGGGTAGTTCAGTGCAAGGGTCCAGACTAATAGTTGCACTATTAGTGCGCCCCATGATTACCAGCAACCCGGATTTTACTACCTTGAAATAGGGTTTCGGATTGATTTCCAACGAAAACATGTATAACCTGTAAGACGAAGTGCGTATTATCCAAGTGGCGGAACCCCGGTCGGGGAGTTATGATATACCCGTTATGTCACCGTACAAAGGCGGGGTGCCAGGTAGCCTCTAACCTATCTGTCATCTCTAGGGTAGGAGGCAGGCTGGCTCGTCAATATTTATGCGAAGCAGTTGAGATGCCAATACATTCGCTTCTTTCCGTTGTAATTAAGCATACTGGTAAGCGTCTAAACACAAGCTTTGCTAAGAGCTTCCGCCTGTTATTGACTTTATTATGCTATCAAAACATGTTGCTAAGTTATCGTTTCTGGTCGAGAAAACCCATTATACCGGATGTTGCCCTGCCAATTTGTTCAAGTTTGTCAGTCGGGTTACAGTCCAAAGCGCAGATTGAGCCTCGGCCACACTTCTACGGCCCCAGCTACACCAATCATTAGCTTCATAGGTCGATGCACCGCAAGCCTTCTGATGCTCTTCTCGTCGAGGCTCAACTGAGGATCTCCACCGCCGTTGCGTACGCAAATTGGATGCCGACGTTAGGAACACTGGGGCGTGTCGCTTGGCTGGCACGAGATGAGCGCGAGACGAGCGCGAAGCGAGCACGTACGGAACAATTCGCGACGATGTAAAGTTTCGTCGTGCGCCGACGCTAAAAGGGATATGACCGATCATTGGCCGGCAAACTCAAATTAATTGGATTCTGTGGTCCAAACCAAATCACTAGGACTTCCTAGGGTGGTCAAAAAGAGGAAGTTGTCCACCACAGAATGATCTGACCGGAGCTGCCACAAACAATCCGGTTTATCCCACCAATCCTGCTCTCCGCCAGATTCCCATGATCGCCACTCTTATGGTCTAGTGCATTCCCTAGAGGATCATGTCCTCCATCGTGGATCACTCCGAGGCTGGCACCTATATAGATGATTCTGACCTTATTAGTGGGACAGCGGCTTCCCGTCACCGGCACCATCCTCTTCGCCTGTCCTTAGCGTCTACCGCCGAAAGACGTCTCCTATTTGGCAGTATTGTCGAAGAGAAGAAGGTAGGAGTATTCCGGCAGCTTGGGTTGATTCCAATGGAACGAAATGGTGGCATTGCCAGCCCTGCTTCGACAAGAAAAGAGCGAAGAAATACAATTACTGTGGTGGGTCGTCCGCCATCGTCAATCATTTGCGAAAGGAGCACAATATCATTATTTCTGGGCGGCAGGAGACCAGGCGGGAAGTGACGCAAAGTCGCCTCGGAGACATCACCGCATTCCTGGCCAATGGAACTTTGGTCTCCACCAAGAAACGCAAGGCGACCGCAGAGGTAGATGCCCTAGACCAAGCGACTCTCCGCGAACTGTACTGCCGTTATACAGTAGCCTGCAGCCTCTCATTTGCTCATGTTGAGCAGCCGGCCTTTCGCGACTTTATCCGGTATATCCGTCCGGCCGCCGATGATCTCCTCCCGAGTGTCAAGCGATATTCCGCCCCAGCCGAGGAGGCGTCCCAACCTACAGGGCACCATTCTTGTGTATATAACTGGGACCTTTGTCCCCTTGACTTGGGCAGTGGTCAAGGCCAATTTGACTCAAAATAACCCTCACATGCATGGCATCTTTCCAGTTACTTGTGACACCGAGGTCCGGCGACACGGTTAAAAATGACTTACAATGGGGCTACGACAACAAAAAGGAGTTTGTAAAGCGAGCTCTGCAGAATGCTCTCGTCAATCCACATTGTTCCAGACAATTGGACATCGCCGAATTGTTTGGGCGTAATAGGGTTTACAGTTCAATTCGTTACCGAAGATCATGGTCTGCAGTCCCTGGTGGTGAGGATAAAAGAATTGGAAGGACAGCACAGCGGCGAGAACATGGCAGAAGCCATCATGGAGTTCATACGAGAATATGGAATAGCGACAAAAGTTGGATACTTTATGATGGATAATGCCACCAACATGAATACCATGATCGACAAAGTCTCCGACGACTTGGAGCACGAGTTCGAAGTTTTCTACGATCCTCTTCCTCACCGACTTCGCTGTTTCGGCCACATCATTAACCTGGCCGTGATGGAGTTCCTCATAGGAAAGCGACCACCCACAGCAGATTCCTACCACGGACCGTCCGACGACGAAGTTAAGCAATGGAGAAAGCGAGGGCGATAGGCAAATTGCATAATATCGTGGTCTACATCACCTGGACTCCCAGCGACTTCAGACATTCACTGGTCTCACTGACGGTCTACGGCTACGGCGCGACAATGACACTCGTTGGAATTCGTGGCATAGCATGGTTGAGTGGGCCCTTAGAACAAAAGTCCGTCAAGGCATCACCATATTTTGTGCTCAAGAGCCTGCCCTGCAAGACGATGCTCTGACTTCCTCTGACTGGGTTACTCTGGCTGAAATTCACAAATTTCTCGAACCTTTCACGACGCTACAATGGCCAACGAAGGCACCGGCAATTCCATCTCTGACGTTCTGCCAACCATGGACTATCTCTTGCATCACATTGAAGCGGCCAAGGAGGCCACTACCATCCCCCACTTGGCTACAATGATGGAGACGACATGGGCAAAATTAGCCGACTACTACGAATTGACGGAAGATTCGCCAGTCTATTCAGCAGCGACGGTATTAAATCCTTCCCTCAAGTGGGCATATATGGAGAAGACTTGGGACGACAAGAATGAATGGATTGAGAGAGCTAAAGCTCGGGCAGGGAGCTCTGGAGGAGGCATACAAATCTACCACTCCCTGCCCTGTTCTTCGACCAGCTTCCGCACAAGAGCCAAGTGCAAGACGACCAAATGGGTACAAAATGTGGATGAAAGAGCAAAAGGCTACGATTTTCAACATGGATGACGACGAGTACGAAGTGTATTGCCGCGAGCCTGTGGTGATGGTATCGGATCCGTTGAAATGGTGGTTAGAGTCAGCGCAGCGGCGACGGTTCCTAACTTATCTTTGATGGCCATTGACCTTCTATCGATTGCGCCTATGTCTACTGAGACAGAGCGGCTCTTCTCCAAAGCCAAACTTTCGGTAACCGACCAGCGAGGATCTATGAACATTGAAACTTTAAATCTCTTGGAATGCCTACGATCCTGGGACCGGAGCGCTCTGATACTCCCATCCGAGGTAAGATTTCTGTTTCGTCAGATGAAGATTGTCTAATTATGGATTCCAGTGTCGCTATATCGATCCGGAAGCCACCGGTACCGGGTCTGAGCCTCTGATTCAGGAAAGGGCGAGGAAAGCTGCAGGTAAGGCAGGCAATTCGGTGAGGGCGCTGGAAAACTTGAAGGCAACCTTGCAGGTGCGACGGGTGCAATGCCAAATGTCAGACTATATGTTCACACTAATAGTGTAGACCACAGTTTGCACTGTAGTTCAGTTTGGCCGTGACGAACAGACTAATAGTTCAGTTTGAACATCTCAGGCACACTGGTAGTGTAGTGCGGCCAAGTCACACGCACTGAATGAGCAGTTTGAGGGGTCCAAACGCACTGGCCACACTATTAGGAGCATTGCTCGTCCAGCGGTGACAGCAGAAATGTACATGTTGATGCTGGGAATTGCCTGTAAATACAAACATCCCCTTCAAAGCTGTCACCTGTTCTATGACTGTATTTCATAGAAGCCCAGAGATCAAGGTGGTAGTCATTGGCTCCACAAGCCTGTAGTTGATCAGAAACTGCAAATCCGTTATCGTAGCGAACGTCAGCCGAGTGCGCGTAAGCGAACATGATATGGCGAGGCATTCAAGCGTACAGGGCCCAGATCTGTCTTGCAACCCGCAGTCTCAGTGGTTACGCGAACGTAAGACTCCGACCATTGCCTGTTGGTTCCGCTGCTGCCTTGAGAGGTCCAGCTGCCTGGTCCAGAGGGAAGAGCTACTTCAGGAGCCATAGTCTTTCATGCATTATCCCGTGAAAAGCTTACAAGGTTCCGCAGCTAGCAATCAATTCAGGTCGAGTAGCATTCGGCATGGGGCGCGCGCATGGTATGTCTGCCTGTTTCCATCAAACATGATTTGGCATACCCATCTCGGCCTGATTCCTCCTCAAGGTGCGTTTTGGCTCTAGTATACTGATAATACTCTAGTCGCCTCAGGCTTCAGCCTTGTGGTGGAAGGTCGAGCACTATAAAGTCCAAAACTTTCCTCGGCCCTGGCTGCGTATTTCCATGGCACCCACGCCAAGCCCTCCACCGAGCTTGAGTATCCGAACTACGGCATATTAGCCGTCTTCTGCGCCGAATTTCACCGATGGCGGATGAAGCTAGCCCTCGTACAGAGGATGAGCGAGTCTTTGACTTGGCAACATACGCGGAAGCACTCCTCGCCACCGCCCCTGAATATAACTGCAACTTGCCGGACCAGTGTAAAGGCAGTGAACTGAGCAGAGTTCATGCCTTGCACGGGAAGCAGCGAGAAGCCTTCGCATCCGGCGCGGCACAAGTCCAGCAGAGGTCGGCATTCACATATGCAGTAGCGCCATCTAACATGGAGCAACCACATTCCGACCGCGATCGATACTATGTATGTCTGGTGGCGGGCTGCTCACTGTCATACGTTGATGAAAACGACCTGAAATCCCATTCAAAGGTTTGCATTGCATCGCATGGGACACACCGGGGCTTCCAAAGCATGGCTGATGTTGAGGAGCCAAGTCCGTTCCCTAGTGTGGTGTACGAGCCGAGCCCACCGTATGAGAGCAGGGCGACAGATTATGGCAAGATCGGTGAAGAGTCAGTCGTGATTCGTCACTTTCCCAGTACACAGTCCCCCTTGTCGGGAGTGGCGCAAGCGGATAGCCGTGCAGTGAACGCGCCTCAGATGTTGCCCACCATGGGCTTGACCGTCAGAGCCGTCACCTCGCAGTCAATACCTGTGATCAACGCTCCCCGCGCCGACAGCCATGGCGATACTAGTCCCAAGGGTGCGACAGTCCGGTCCATAGGCATGGGCGCCATGCTAGGGAAGCCCACAACTGTGCACGTCGACAGCAACAGTGACGACCAGCTCTCTGTGCAACAGGTGGCAGGGCAGGATGAACGACCACAGCCGGGCTGCTTGTTCTTCTCACAGACATCCAACATCATCCGAAGAGCCGACCGGGCTTGCCAGGCCTGCAGGGCAAGAAAATCCAGATGTAGCAGGACCCAACCATGTGAGCGGTGCGTTGCAGGGGGGAAGACTTGCCAGTATTCGAGAGCATCCCAAAGAAGGGTTCCGCGGCATCGGCATCATGTGGTGCATACAGATCACGCGTAAGCAGAAACTGTCATGATTCGGATTCCTATTATACTAATATCCTCTAGTCGCGATGAAAAGCATACGGAACCTGTGGGGGGAGGGGGGCGCATTAAGGGGTTAAGGTCATAAAGCGCAGCCGCAAAGCTATCTGGCCCCAAGCCTGCCCATGGGATTTATCTTCGAAGCAACTCATTACTAGCCACTTACCGCAAGGCACTGGCATCGGCTGCATGTGTTATTGTGAGGATAAAAGCTGGGGACAGAAATGAAGTCGAAGACACGCGGATGCGACGTGACGATGGGACGATTTTCAATTTCAGCCGGGGTTGCAAAATCGTTAGCCGCGAGATCGTGGAACAAGCAAGGGGCCTCTTCGGAGTTGGCCGAGTGGAATATGGTTATTTGTGTAGATAATTCACTTTGAGTACAGTACTGTATCTGCCAGCCGGCTAATTGTGTCCACATAAGTAGCCCGAGTTTTATTCCTCCGAGCCAGGATGGGATTTTGGTAGTTATATTCGGCTCCATAAGTCTATATGAGTCACTGTCAGAGGGAGCAGACTGACGGTCTAATCCGCACACGTATAAACTCCGGTGAAAGAGGCAGGTCAGACACAGGGACTTGAGTCAGGTATCGATACAGTAGAGGAACATTGCCCTAATCAGGATACACGGGAATTGGCCCTGATTCAGGCCCTCCACGGGTCCAAGATTGGTATCTATTCGTATAAATACCCCCTCAATGTCGCACAGATAGATAGAAAACATGCATCATCGTTTGGACTCAATTGTGCCTGCCCTTATCCTTCCGCCCGCGCTCTCAGCTTGCTGAGAGTCACATACTGTACGGCAGTGGCGGCGACAACGGCTGCAAGCCGCTAACCTCATCTCCCTGGAATTGTTCGCGGAATCGCTAAGTGAGCCATTTACAAATGAAATCATCTTCATCAGTCCTTTTTCAGCACGGATAAAAGCAAGTGATTGGCAAAAGAGTCGAAGGTAGGCGTAGGCGGAGCTGGGTTAGCGCGTTGCGGCCAGGATAGTGTCGAAGTTATTTTAGGTACCAGTATAGCTGGAAGGAAGAAGAGGAGAAAGGGAAGGTGAGAGATGCGAGGTCTCGGAGTCGTCTGCGAGACAACGAGCAGGAGCCAGAAACTTGCATAGCCAAACCGCGCCCTTCACAAGACGCCCTCCAGCAACGCTACATCTAGGAACATATGCATAAACGTCTATTGCCACGTCTATAGCCACGTTTAGCTGTACTGTAGCCAGTCGCTCGTGTCAAGCAGCCATCAACACATGCACCGCCAGTTCATGCTCTGTACCGCTTTCCCGAGCTGCGGCGCGAAAAGGCTTATCAGTCATAAGTGCAACGCATGCAGAATCGTAGCTCAGCCGCATCTGCTCTGTCGCATGAACCACCCAGCCAAAAGTGAGATGCACATCCCAATAGCGGCTGCTGCTAGAATGGCTAATATTGCCTGTCACTGATTGCAACATGCTTCTACAGCAAGTTGCCGAAATGCGGACCGATAGATAACTCGATATATTAACTGTTCTTCCGGGGTGCCACCACCTTCTCTCGAGATGGCTGCCACACGTGGTAAGGACTTGGAAGTCTTTCTCCTACGGCACTGCACCGGCAGCCGGAACGCGTTCCTGCTTCGCACCGCATTCTTGGGATGGTTGCCACACGCAGTAGCAAACAGACATCATTCCTCTGCAAGTCGCCACACGGCAGCCGGGTGTGTTTTCGATTCTTCAAGCCCTCGTTTTGCAAAACTTGGCACCGCAGCCAGAACGCACTTCCGCTTATGAGATGGCTGCTACAGTACGGTATACGGGTGGTTTCCAAGCCGGGGTTTTGACCGGCCGGCCTGTTATGGGTGCCAAAAAAACGCGCATCGTCCATGTGCTCTTCGGTCTCCGCAAAGTATGGTGCAAAGAACTCGGAAGTCCATCCCTTCCCTCAAGAACTGCACCGGTCGCTCCCGCTTCACAGTTCACACCACGTCCTTGAGATGGCTTCCACACTTAGCAACGACGCCTCCCCTCGTCACCCAGTGCAGGGATGGACATCTTACGAACGGGAATCGAATCGATAGATTCATTCGATGCCAAGTCTTACGAATATCGAATCGAATTTCTTGGCGTTCGATTCGATGTCGAATCTGCCACGGCCCCGTTCGATTCGCATCGAATCGAACGCGGAGTGCCTCGTTCGACGTTCGACAGCATCGAATCGAACGTGGCGTTTTTCGTTCGACAGACGAATCGAACTGAGGTGCATTTTAGTGCCCATCGAATCGAACGGCACCCAGGCGTTCGACCGAATTCGATCGAATCGATCGAATGAGTGATGCGGTTCGCGAAAATCACCGCGGAGAGCCTTTACGCGCGTCTTCTTAGACGCGTTAGTCGGCCCCTGTTGGTGCCTGACGCGACCAAGCGTGATTTGACCTCTTTATCGACCAAACTAGGTTAAGGCGCTAAGACATGTTAGTATGTACAGCTAAACCCCACACAACTACGTGACAGAATTAGTATCTTGCAACTCCAGCAAACATGCTCTACGGAAACTCATTGATGGCTGTTCTATAAAATCTATAAAATCATGACGAAACTCTAAAGTGCAGGGTCACCATAAGTTCCCATGGCGACGTTGTATACGTGCGATATGTTGGAACGAAATCTCAGTCATAGGTGGGATTGATACCATGGCGCCAGAGCTAAGAAATTCGACTATCTCACCAAGGTATAGGGTAGGTCTACCCAGTCACCCGGTTCCATCGATCGGAGTTTATTATACGTTTGCCCATCCTCTCCGTGTTTCGACGCCTGGGAAACAAGAAACTGGCCCATTTAGAGAAACTCTCCGCAGAACTTGCATACCAGCATCTCAATCACAGTACCACAGCTAGAATGATATTTTGACCTTCGAATCGCATTTGTACAACTTTAACCGTGTCCTACAGGTCCTTCCAAAAATTTCCAAATATTCATCGCCATTGTCACTGTAACTCCTGCCCAAACCAAAACAGCCTCTAAGCCGATGTACAAGTGACTTCAAAACACTCCGCCAGCTCCATTCAAAGCTCTGTCGACCTCAAAGGAGTTCGAGGCCGATTCAGCGATGAGACGAGGATGGCACGAGAAAGGGCAGCCAAATGAAACGACTCGTCACACGCCACGATGATCTGTGCATTATTACGACACAAGCCAATGGGGGCATTGGAAACCCTGATGAACAGGGGATATTCCAACAAGGTTGCCGGGTCTCATCGCGCCTCCGATTTGATTGGCTGCAAGCAGGGGCGGAGATGCCGTGCCTGACGCCTCGGCAGTCAAGCATCAACGCCGGAGGCCGGGACCATCTTGGCGGCAGCGACGGTCCATCGTCGTTTTTTGCATGGGTGACGGAAACTCCTTTGATTCGTCCAAACCACTTTAGCCAATGCAACGGAGATTGCGGTGATGGGTTTTCTCTACTTTCTTTTCCCCTTCCCGGGACACGCGTTGGACGCGTTTATGCCTGCTTCGCCGAGCTTCGCTGCCATGATGGGGCATGAGTTGAGCGCCGGCGAAGCCTCGATGACTTCTACCTTCATCTGTCGGCGCGCTCGCTCAATTTGCATGATCGGATCAACGTTGTGATGTCATCCGAACCACTGTCAAGCCCATCCCCGTCGAATCGGTCAGGTTTGATTGAGCATGTGGGGTACTCGTCTTTACCACCCGCATCATCCCAAGGAACCTCGTTGCCGACGACTCCATCACCTCGTTCTCGCGGTACTGCTGCCGACTTTATTCAAGTAGATTGACTCTCTGGGGCCGCCAAGAGTGGGCGAAATGGCCTGGATTCGAGCGATATACTGGCGGCCAGGACACGAGGGCGTGGTGGCAGCAATACGGGTATCGTGCTGAGGACCGGTCAACCTCGCGCCAGGGCAACAGGCTGAAGTGGATCTGCGCGGATTGCTTCGCTCGAGGCTTCAAGAAGAAGTCAGACTTCTGCTTCGTCTGCTCGACAGGAGCCGCTATCAAGAAGCACCTTCGTAACGCCCACGGAATTCTGGTAAGTGTGTGCCGTTCGGAGATATGCCAGCAACATGAGTGTTGACTTGGCAGGCCCCAAACGACGTTGCAGGAGGCGTGCGAGCCTCATCTTTGGACGGCCGGCCCATCACACACTTCATTGGTGCCGACTTCAACAACCCGCACGACCAGTTCCTTGTCAGCAAGCTGCGGGGAAGATTCAACAGCAAAGGGCTTCGGGTGCTCCTACTTGACTGGATCACATACCATAATCTGCCATTTGATATCGTCAACACAGAGAGGTTCCAACGGCTCCTTCTCTACGGCAATCCGCTCCTTGATGCGACTCATATCCCATCTGGGAAGACGCTACTTCGCATGCTCGAATCTGAATACAGGGGTGCCGTCGGGCCCGTAACGGAAGTACTTCGCACCGCTCGATCCCAGGTTCACTTCTCTTTCGACGGCTGGACATCTCAGTCCTACACTGCATTTCTGGGCATCAATGCTCAGTTCATTGATCACAACTTTGCTCAACACCGCATCCTCCTTGGGCTGCGACCTCTCTGGGTAAGCATAACGGTGCCTCGCTTGCCGATGAGGTCGCCGATACACTGGCATTCTGGCAAGTCAACAACCCGGACACGGTCGGCTACTTCACGCTGGACAATGCTGCCAACAATGACACCTGCATGGAAGACCTTGCCTTTGAGCACGGCTTCTCACCCGAAGAGCGACGGATCCGCTGCGCTGCACATATCCTCAACCTCTGTGTGCGGGCAATGCTGTACGGTTCGAAGCAGGAGAATTTTGCTGCAATTGTTGCTGCCGATGGGGATGATCTAGATGACGACGAGGAGCAAGTTGATCAAGCTATCGACGAGGCCCTAAATGGAGAGATGAAGGACGGTACGGACGAAGACCCAGGAGCAAACACTGCCGTTGACATCCCAGAAGAGGACCCCATATCGTCTCACCCGGCTCCGGACGAGATCAATGCTGCCAGCTTCAGGAGTACAGTCAGAACGGCGCGCCCGGAATGCTTCATCACATCGGTCTTCAGCTGCGAAACACACAGCTGTACGAACAGTTTCTTCAGTCTCAACGCAAGGAATCCGGGCATGGAACAACACTTCACTGGGCCTTCAACAATGCCACCCGGTGGAACTCGGACATGCGTATGATGGAACGGGCTCTTCGACTCCGCCAGGCGCTCAATACCTTCTTCAATGACGTTCAAAATCGGTGGGAAACGGAGGGCCTCTATGACCGAACGAAGCCGGCAGTTCTGCAGTACCGCTTGAGTGTGTACGACTGGAAAGTTATCGAGGTACTTGTCAAGCTTCTCAAGCCGTTCGAGATTGCCACCAAGCAACTTCAGGGCAATGGTATTCCCGGCGGTAGGTCCACATGTGGCAGTTTCGATGAATACTTCCCCGTCTTTGAGATTTTGCTTGACCACCTCGAAAGTGCTATCGAAGGCACAATCTTCGAAGAGGTTGAGGATCCAGTGACTAGGGAGAAGAAAGACGTCGAAGTAGCCATCTATGACGGGCTCGATAGCAGGACCCGCAGGTTGCTCAAGGTCTATATCAAGCTCGGGTGGAAGAAGCTGCATAAATATTACAGCCGTCTGACTAGCGCTGCATATGTCGGGGCTGTTGTCTTCAATCCTACGAAAAAGTGGCGCCTTCTCGATCAACTGTGGTCTCGAGTACCCTCTCGGAAGACGAAGAGTTGGCGGTTGGAATACGAAGCAAAGCTCTTGGAGATCTGGGAGAAGTATAGGGAGCGCGACGTTGATAACGAGGTCCTCGCTACGTCTGATGAGGTCTCCATGGATTACATTGAGCGGAGACTTGCTAGGACTGTAGCTGGGTCGCCATTCAACCACGGCTCGTTCGGAGCATCAAGTGCCCGCAAAAGCAACCGAAAGACGAAACCGTCTACGGCGGGAGCGACTGGCGATGACGAATATGCTCGATATTGTGCCGAGGACGTCGTCAACAGCCACCACTACAGAAGCAGACCGATCGACTGGTGGAAGATCAACCGAAGCCGATATCCGCGACTGTCTCTGATGGCAGTAGACATGCTTACGATTCCATCGACGTCCGCGGAAAGCGAGAGGACGTTTAGCAGTGCAGGACGTATGACGGCACCATTGAGAAGCCGGCTGCGAAGGGAGATCGTAGCGATGGCTCAATGCATTCGATCGTGGAGTAAAGCTGGGATCTACACGCCTTCACTGCCGCTGCTTAGCCTCGACGAGGATCAGTGGATTGATGCTCTTGCGTCGCTAAAGGGGCGAAGTGACACTTAATCAGCTTGTAAAGACAGCCATTGACCGTGCTTTTGATGTCTCACCTGCTGCAGCCATGATGTCTTTGCACCCCTTGGCACTTCTTAAGTCGAGGGATGTAGGAGTCCTCGAGATGGTGACAAAGACATGTCGGTGCAACGCACGTTTGGCACCCCAATCTCTGCTAAGTCCTACGTTCGATCGAATTCGATACGAATTCGATCGAACCTTGGCATTCGATAGGTATCGAATCTACGGAACACGCGTTCGATTCGAGTCGAATCAAACGGGCAAGAAATTTCACGCGTTCGATTCGATGCGAATCTACTGGGACCACATTCGATTCGAGGTCGAATCGAAGGGGCAACAATTTTCACGCATTCGATTCGATGCGAATCTGCTGGTGCCATGTTCGATTCGATGCGAATCTAAAGAGGCCCTGTTCGATTCGAACACCAAGTCTTGGCGTTCGATTCGATAGATTCGTAAGATGTCCGTCCCTGACCCAGTGTGCCTGCAGCCCTTTCGATGGGATGATGCCTGTGACTCACCGGCTGTTAGGCCCTCCCCATGAAACACGAGCACCTTGCAAGTTTGTTGCGTACAGCACCCGCCCCTCGCCCGCGGCTCTTGTCATCCAGCATGTAATCCTTCCTTGCTGTATGTCATGTCGGGCTGCCTCGCACTGTCAGAGCAATCCGTGTGGCCAATCAGACACAGTTAAATCGAGCGGTCTCTACCACAATCCTCTGATGCGATTGGGCCGCTGAACTATAGATTTACAGTGCTGCAGCAACCAAAGATGGCGCGGCGGCAGATCATCGACTCCGGGGGTAGCCAAAGGCATGGTACGTTTGAAACTTCAATGCTCAAAGCAATGCTCAGAGCCCGAATTCGGCTCTAGGTCGTAGAGGAAGCGTCCGCTTGTGCTCCAAGCGTCGAGAGGCGCTCTCTTCAGGCGGAAAGTAGCAGGGTTTGAAGTGGCAAGGTTTGCAGTGGCAAGGTTCAGCGACACAAACGCCCCGACCGGCCGCCCTTCGAGCTCGCCGCACACGGCCGCCACTGGCGTGGACGGGTAACCTGTCGTGACGTCGTAGAGCCCGCAGATGATGATGGCCGTGCTCTGCTCACAGTCGATGCACGCGCAAAATACTCTTGAATGAGATAACCGATCCTGTCATAACTGATTAGTAACAGTATTAAGAGAATCATGCCTATCGAGGCTCCTTCAGTTCTGTTTTGCTCGCTTGGCAGTTGCTCCACTATCCAGCTCGTATTTCGGACTCAGTTTGCAAGGAAAGACTGCTCGAGAGGATGAAGGCGAGAGGGATACCAGCCGAACTGATAAGATGGATAGATGCGTTTTGTTCCGGGCGAACAGCCTCATTGGTGGTCAATGGGTTCACGTCGGAACAACGGGAGCTGCCTCAGGCAGGCCTTCCTCAAGGGTCACCGCTGTCACCGATCTTGTTCCTCTTCTTCAACGCGGACCTGGTCCAGAGAAGGATCAAGGCGGAAAGCGGGTCGATTGCGTTCGTGGACGATTACTCGGCCTGGGTAACCGGGCCTACCGCGGAAGCGAACCGAGAAGGGATTCAAGCGATCATCGACGATGCACTTGAGTGGGAGGCGCGCAGCGGTGCAACTTTTGAAACAGAGAAGACGACCATCGTCCACTTCACGCGAGCTAGGGGTGATATACGAAGGTGAATTTTTTGAAGATTTTGAATGAAGGATGAATCAAATGAATGGAATTTTTGGGATCTCGATTCAAAATCTTCAAGCTCCAATTTTCGCGATTCAAGTTGGGTTTGGGCCAATTCAGGCCATTCATGAATGGTTTGAAGGGATCCCTAAACGAAGTGAATTTGTGTGTACCTAAGCGATTGCAAAATACCTCAAAACTCCAATAAGTAGTATATAGTTTTATAGCCCTCTGAGAAGTGTCTTGATAATCCCGAATACCACAAAAATTAACTTACATAAATACTGATCCGCATGTCCTAGGCAAATCGCTGAAAATAAGCACTTTCAAAAGCTCTGCCGAATCCTCAAAATGCGTCGGTACAACGCGTTCGAATCGCCATTGTGCACGGTTACACTGTAAGGCGCACACACAACTAAACAGAGAGTGAGGAACGGGGGTCAATCATTCAATTCATTGATCTCTGACGAGCTCCATCAGGTGCTATGCAACCCTACTTTTATAACCACGAGAGGCCTCCCAGCCCCGTGCTTTTCCCTGGAAAAGTCACTCCAGCCAGTGGTTGGAATCAACCAGCCATCTACCGTGGTCAAGCACTTTAGGCGCGTGACATACACACTCGTAGAGCCTCAATCCTCCGAAGCCTCCATTGTACCTAGACAAGGGGTTGATATCGCAGACTTATTGGCTTGGGAAGCAAGAGGTTTGGGGGTGGGAGGTTCGGTGGGAGCCTCGGTAGGACCCTCGGTGGGAACTTCCGCCGGAGCAGGGGGTTTAGGAGGAGGATTCTCGCCTGAACGCAGATTAGCATTACACACAAACAATGAGGGTATATTCATACCATTTACCAGCATTCCCGGAATGTGGTCTGGTCTCCAAATAATTCAGCCCGAAGGGCGTTCTACTCAGTCAGAAAGAATCGAGCATAAAACCTCTTCTGATCAGTGTTGCTAATAATATAAACAATACGTATATTGGCAATATGGACCCCTCGCAATATTATTGTATTGTCAAGAGGTGCGTATTGTATTGCGCAATATGGCATTGGTCCATATTGTATTGTATTGCCAGTGACCAAATATATTGCCAGTAAAACAATATATCCCGTATATCCCACGTGACCCTCATTATTCAACCGTCGTTGCTGAAATATCGTCACCCTGAAAATCCTGTATCCCAAACCATGACTTCAAGCACTCCAATGCCTGAATTACATCACTCCCAAGTCGATTTCGACGGTCTGTGATGGTTATTTTTGCCCCAGAGAAGAGTCTTTCGGGCTCAGCAGACATTGCGGGAATTGACAGTATATCCACCGCCATTTTGCTCAGGTATGGGTAGTTCTTTTGCTGTGTTTCCTCCAGCCACCATGCGAGGGCGCTTGTGAACCCATAAACCCGTTCAGACTTACAATATCGCTCGTACTCGTCTGTGATAAGTGCTGGTTGTAGGTGCTTGTTTCTCCAATTCAAGAACTCGTTCGTGGTCGTCAACGGAACCTCAGATAGAGAAGGCGGCTCCACAGGTTTATAATCATCCCACAGTGTCTCCATCAGCTTCTTTGACGAGTCAGCCCACTCCTTCTTCCAGTTTTCGTGTATGTAGTGCCATTTATGCGAAGGGTGAAGCACAATCGCAGCGACGTAGGCAGGCGATTCGTCAGTAAGACAATAGTACTTATCCATCTTCGCCCAGCCCGAGTTATACATTGGTGCCATAATCGGATCGTCGATATGTGCCTCTTTTCCTGCTTCGAATTGCGCCAATACGAAGTCCATAGCCAAGAGAACATTGTCAAGAGTTGCAAACGATGACTCAAGGGCCTTTGTCGTCATTTTAAGCTTCTCCAAGAAAGACTTGATCTTCTCGAGGATGACCCACTCCTCGGAGAGAGCTCGTCTCCGGCACAATCTCCTTCCACCCATTTGTTGAAATATCCTCGACTGCGCCTCTAAGATGCAAGGCCGCTCGTAGCATGGTGTACCACGAACTCCACCTCGTGTCATTATCTCGCGCAAGCTTGCGATTATGGCTGATGGCCAGAAACTTTTGGCGACGCTGAACACTACTTTGGACGAAAACCACGAAGTTGTGGAGCTTGCCAAGGGGACCCTTTTCCGCCACGCCTCGATCTCTTTTAGTGTCACATTATGCCCATCACGTTCGTCGTCTTTGAGCTTCTCATTATCGGTAACGAAGAGGAAAGCTTTGGCGGCAAGGTTGATAATGTGACCTTGGCAGCGGAGTCGGTGAGATTTGGGATCGTATCGAATGTCATATCGACGTAGAAGGCCTGTAAATGTTAGGGCCAGTCAGAAAAACAGTGCGCCGTACTTACCAAGGAAAGAGATCTCATCATTGTATCGTTATTGCCTGCATTGTCCATCACAAAATATCCAAGGTTGGAAGCAAACCCCAGTCATCAACCACTTCCAAAATTGCCCTTGCCAGGTGATATCCGTCGTGCTCACTGTCGATGTCTTTCAAAGCCAAGACATGGTGTTCCAACTGACTGTCTTCTGCAACGTAATGAGCAACTACGCCTAAGATGGCCAAAGAGTTGGGGGAAGTCCATAGGTCGCAGCTGATATGAATTTTTGACTTTGCTGACTGGATGCGCTGCTTGACCTTCTCCTTCTGACCTTCGTACTGCCGCATAATCCATTTCTTGATGGTCTCGTGTGTATCTGGAAGCCAAGTATCGATATCGGCGTTGAGGTAGGCTAAGAATGCTCGGAATTCTGGGCATTCCACAAGCCTAAATGGGAGAGAACAGGACGTAATAAACCTTACGTATAAAGCTTCGAGCTGGTCTGGGTCGATCGAGTCTCCGGATTGATCGTTGAGCCGACGGCGTTTTCGGGGATGTTCTTTGGCCGTAACACGAGCTATCTCGAGAATAGTTCGTATATTCGTGACTTTGGCAGTTCGTGGCGCGCCTTTTGGGAGGCCGTGACCGTCAGGAGGAGGATCCGTAAGGTGCTTGGTTGGGGCCGCAGTTCCACCGGAACAGCAATACGTTTTGTCACAGTGTTTGCAGCGCCATTCTTCTTTCCGGTCCGCTGATTGTAGTATTTCGTCTCTATGTCCTCGTCTGGCATATGAGAAAAGACCCATGATGTTCTTGGCTTGGCCGAAGGGTTTATGGAGGCCGTGCGAGGTTGCGACGATTGGCATTCAGTGGTTTGGGTCTCATCTGGATCATGCAACCGTGGGCTGGAAATCTCCGAGTATTCGTCTGATATTGACGAATCCCGTCGCGGCGATGTTTGAACAAAAGGCAGGCGTTGTTGAGGCATCGAGATTGCTTGTAAGT